AATATAATAATATGTAAGTTGCAATTCTTACAAGAGCGCTAGTTGTTAAGTTACATGAAATCACAAAACAAGCTTATGAAACACAAACATTGGAGACAAATAATAATGAATACCTAATCATATTACAAATACTATTATTAAATAATAAATAATTGTAATTATTATTTTGAAATAAAAAAGCTAGGCATAAGCAAGTATATATAGGTAATATTATGTACCTAGCTAAAATTTTGATAAATATTAAATTATTTAAATGAACCGAGAAAAAAACATTTTTAGAACTTTTACTGCACGTTTTTATAGATAACTCATAGGTACTTAATTGTTTCTTTATTAAAAATAACGAGACAAACACTGATAATAGTGCACAGCCGCACAGGATTTAAAAATAGGCAGGAATCTTTATATTACATATTATATTTTTGTACCTACATAATATTGTCATGTACTCATGTTGATACAATATAATATAGTATAATAATTTTCAACCGAAACACTACCTATTACCTAAGTAAATATTTGATGTACTGATTACTGATCCTGGTTGGAGAGTCCCATCGTCCTAATCCCTATCCAGCGGTTCACTATATTATGTAGGTACCAACTGTCATAATTAATTATGAGCGTAGGTATCTAAGATATAGGAGTTGCACTAGTCGCAGAATATATAACAGCAATAAATTAACAAGTATTTTCGAAAACGTTGATAGATGTTAAGATGTATATTGTATACTATATATAAATAAGAAGGTATATTATGTATAGTTGACTTCATCCTAAATTATAATTGTTTGAAAGCCATTACCAATATGTTATGGCTATATGAACACATAATTTTACTGCGAGTGCCTATAATATAGACGTAGGTAGTACAAGAATAATGTTCGACACTTTGTTCACTTTATGCACTGATTACGAACAGGTGCGTTTATAAGTGCATCGATATTAAATTAGGTATTATTTAAAAGTTTAAAATTATAAGTTTAAAATAATTACTTTGAATATTGCTCATATAATATAAATTAATTTTAATTTAACTTATAATTATTGTTCAATATTATGGTGTGCAAAAAAACTATGATCAACCGGTGATTAAAGTTAAGATGAGAATTATATTATATTATATTAAGTAGGACATAATTTAAAATACATGCATTTCAATTACCTGTTAAACTCTGTATAATATTCATTTATTGAATTCATCAATACTAAAATTAAAATGGATCATTATTATCGTATAACAATAATTTAATTTAATACAATACATTTTTAAAATCAATAAAAATATAAACTAAGCAATTTCAACTATGGTCAATGATGTTTATCATGTAGGATGGATTAATTTCACATCTTGTTATTTCATAGTCAAATTGTATTTATTTCAAGATCAATAATAATACATCATATTAATATTAGAGTATTGAAAAATTCAATGAGTTATGCATACATTTTTAATTAAAGATGTTGGTAATCTAAAATCTTTATAAACTTTAAACATCGTTCACTAGTGGAGTTTTTTTTATTATAAGAGTAACCTACTCCCTACAACTATATGGTGCAGTTATATTGTATGTTATTATAAATTTGAAATGTTATTTGTAACGACAAAACGATGAATCGAGTTTAATTTAAAACATTGATACACAAATGAACAATGCACACTTTACACGCATATAAATTTATAATATGTCATATAAATAAAATAAAAATTCTGCTTTACAATGAATTTTTACTTTGAACACTGAATGCTCAAAGCTGAGGGTATTAAAGGGTTAGGCTGAAATACATACATTTGAAAGCAGAATATACGTAGGTAGGTACTGAATATGCAGTTAGTAGCTATACTACGAGTACCCATCACATTATTAAGACACGGATCCTAATTGGTTTACGAATAGTATCAGTAGCGGAACAAGTTTGTACTTCGTGCGTTGCAACTAAATCACATCATGAGTTTGCATTCAATACGATTCCGGTATATATAATATATACACACGCGCACTGATGATTTGTACGAACGTAGACCTACGATATAGTGCAGTAAAATTTAATTATTGGTCTGAATTGAATAGGTGTTTTCGTTAAATGCCAGGCAACTAGAAATATTTTTATAAAATATTTTGTATTTAGACTCATAAGTCGTAGGTGGTTACTTATGACACGCCATATCACATAGAAAAAATAATGACAAACGCACAGACTTAAAATCATATATTTTTTTTATTATTATTATTATTAACAAACACGGGCAGTGGCAGCTAAATCCATTGGACGTAATAGGGGCATATTTAGGGGGGATTAGGGGGGATTAGGGGGATAGATCCCCCAAAACTTTTTTTTACTGCTAACATTTAGATCAAAGTATTGGTAATGAGTAATAACCATTAATGTTTGCTAAAAACATATATCCCCCCCAAAAAAAAAACAAATTCCTAATTACACCACTAGGACATAAGTACATAACAATGTTTTACATAATGTACATTGTACGTATTAAAATACATAGATTAGATTACAATGTTGCTCCAGGTTTGCAACGAGCTTCAGACAAATCACCTGAAAGCGTTGAAAGTCTTGATCTCGAGAGTTTGAGGATACACAAACAATTTAAATCAATGCCTAGTATGGCAGTTCAGAAAAATACCTTAGGTGATGAGTAAGTCACCTCCACGGAGTTGCACGTTTCGATGGATTCTAACTTACCAGAAATGACACTATTGTCACTGCAGAAGTTAGGGACATCGAGGCGCCGTCATCCGTCTCGTCATCTTTGTCAGTCTCGGCTGGCCGAAGTGGATGTACTGCAGGGCTCAGGCAAGTTCGATACCCAACATGGCAACACAGTTTGGGTTTGGTGCTGCTGAGTCTAAAAATGGCTGGACGAAACCGCCAGCCCACGAGACAGCTAGTCTCCAGGATATGGTAAACCGCACTCCGCAGCGGTTGCGGCTGTGGTGATACAAGAACGAGCCCGACGGTAACCGCGGTCAATCCTAGGCACCACTAATTATTTCAAAAACTTTCAACGTTTTTCCATACATTTTTTTTACAACATTTTAAATCGTTAAAACACAACATTTTTCTAAAAACTAAAATATTTACAAATTATAATTAGGTAATTAACTACTTGTTCAACATATTTTATAGATCGAAATACCTAAAATAATTTAATAATATGATATTATAAATGCATGTTCTAATTCAAAAGAGTACCTAAACCACTTAAGTACTGATCACGATAAAAAATAAAGTTTTGTTTTAAAAACATTGTTTTCAAACTACCTACTTAAAATTATGTATAAGAGATATTTTCAAAAACGTTAATGTTTTCTAAAATAATAATAATGAGTGTCTTACGTCAAATAAATCTTGTGGCGGTACCTAAGACGCTTACACGCCCTTACACGTTTTAAAAATGTTATCACTTCGATTTTTTCCTTGAACTAATAATAAACTGTAGTAAATCGTAATGACTGATAATAGTTAGAAGATATTACGCTACTCTGTTACGCGTAGTAATAATATAATAAAATATATATACATATTACTACGCAGAAAACTCGAATACTCATTGTTATTATAAATGTGTATAATAATATAAAAATTAAAAACCATGAATTAAGATATAGGTACGTCATATTATACAAGATACAACCATTAATAATCATTATTAGGACCATATTGTTGATGCCTTAATAAACCTATAGAAATGCATTATTGATATCAAAAACTCCAAAAATGGCGACACCCCGAATATCGTACGTATTTATATTTTTTTTATTTTTATTTTGTGTAAATTTACAATCTATACAAAGTGTACAATAAGTAAATGTGATATAAGTGACAAATATAACGTGAATCGCGAGATTAGGGAGGATACCCAGTGGTAACACCCTATATATTATATCTAACATGTATAATACAGAAATAAAATATTAATAGTAATAGATTTTTTTAAAGCTTTTATGAGCTAATTAGGATTTTGGCTTCTTAAACCAATTTACCTCATATGTACTTATTCAGCATTATTCTCTTATGTGAGTTAGGTCCAAGTTTCCGTTCCAATCAGGTTTTAACTCCTCCGGGTCTTTTTTAATCACGTAGGTACCTATTATTTAGGGTCCAGCAATCTATATTTGTCTTTGATTTACCAATACTATCATAATAATAAAACCATATGCTCTTCACGCATGAGGCATGACCAGCCCAAGAAAGTCTTAAACTATTTGGCAAATTGCACTATAAAATATAATATATTATTTTGTTTACATATTTTCTTTAATTCCTTATTTGACCTCCTTTTCCATTTTTTCTCATGGTCATCGAATACTATGCAGTATACATTTTTCTTCAAAATTTTACTACAGCAGTTGCAACTTGTAGGAATAGCAATAATATGTTAAGTATAAACATATTAAATTAATTTTATTTTCCATACAACGGATCCGCTCTACATTTCGACGAGGTCCAATAGTTTTCCGAATGTTGTTATTATCCGCCAGATTTCGTTGTCGGTTTTGTTTTTTATCCATGACATAATAAAATATTATTGACGTGTTATTTTTCCATGTTTTGCTCTTCGGTCTGCTCTTGTTTCCATGACTGTCACCGTCGGTTATCAATGTCGAGCGTCGTTAATCGTTATCATCTCCTGTTAACTGTTTTCACGTCGTCGTCGTCGGTGGAACCACGGATTGCGTTACAATCCAAGGCGGCCTCGTCGCGGTTCGCATTTCACACGGCACCGCCGTTAACGTCAACAATTATTATTGTTGATCAATGATCAGAGGTACTCGATCGTTGTCAACTATCAACTATTGTAAGTCGTAAGTTATAATCCGGTAAGTCGACTATAACACCGTTATTGTGTTATAATTATTTTTCGTTTCACTCTTTCTAGTGAACATTGAACCTTCCGAATGACAGGTCACGTTTTTTAATGGCTCCGTGCCGCCACTGTTAAAAATACCGTTCATGAAGTGACAACCAAATTTCCGGCCATGGAGGAGCTTGCGTGCGTCCGGTGCATGAGCTCCAAGTTCCGGAACCCGAACCTCGTGTTCAGCTTCAACGTGTGCGGGCATACCATGTGTGCAAATTGCATAGAAGTGGCGTTCATGAAAGGTAAACACCTATTTATTGTGTTTTGAGTATGTGTTGGTTGTGCCAAGTGTGAAGGTAGTGACATCAGGTTCCAGTGGCGCACCCAAGGGGGGGGGGGGGCTTTGGGGCTTAAGCCCCCCCCAAAAAAATATTTTTTCATTAAATTACACATTATTATAGAAAATATAGTATAACAATGATAAATGATAATGTCTTATTTTAAAATTTTGTTATTATGTTAGATACACATATAATATATACCTACATAATAGTTCAATACTACGCGATAAGGTTTGTGACAATCAATATACCTACTCTACGGTGGCTATCGTCGATTTTTATTTTGTTGAAAATTATTTTTAGATTTATAGATACAATAACGATTACGTGCGATCGACTTTGATTGTTAACTACGATAACAATGACAATTATGACTTTCGACTGTCTGTGGCATGAAAATCTTGTTTAGATAATTCAGTCTGTTCGATTTTTTACAAAATTGGTTATTTAAAAATTAGTTTTAATTGTTTACTTGTGTGTAAGGGAAAAAGAAAAATTATTAAGCCCCCCCCCCCCCAAGCAAAAATTCTGGGTGCGCGCCTGTCAGGTTCCCTATTAAAACTGCATCTCTAGGGTGCCTCTGGTATATTATTAGTCAAGTAAAAATATTAAGCGTTCGATTTTGAACCGACTACGTCATTACTCATTGCTGCCTACTTTGAGCAATTTCATAGTTCTTTAATATATTAAGATAGGTAATCAGATTTTCATGTTTATCTCTGGACTTGTCGTGGGTTAGCTATCTTTCAAAGTTATCGTTCCATGTTTAAATACCTATCCAGCAGTGGAGTAGCGTATGCGTATGCTGTGTATGCACAGCATACACTTCACAAAATGAAAAAATATTTTTTTAAATATTAATAATGCTATATTTTTACGGGTATTTTTATAAAAATGTTTTAAATTTCATTGTACTAATTTAGTGCTTCGTAATATAATATTTTGTGGATTTTCTTCCAAGTTCATTAATCAATATTCATTAGGATTGATTAATCCATAACACCACGGCAGCGACGCGCTATAGTCCTTATATCTATAGTGGCTAGTACCTCAGTACCTTGTTTATTATGTAAGCAGTATGAAAGTAGGCGATTGCATAGTTGTACAGACTTTCAGCGACAGTTATTTATAGTTCTTATGGATAATATTAATAACAACATAAAACATAAATTTTTTCATAAATTGTATTACATTTGTTTGTCCAAATACCTATGTAGACAGTAGTCGAGTAGTCCACTACCTACATAATCCATGTATTTAGATTCTTTATATTGGAAAGTTTGGGAAAACTTATTAATGTATAATGAAGATGGTAATTTACATTCACTATAATTGTAATCATATTTACATGTATTAGGTACCAATTAGTTATGGTAAATTTTATTAGAAATTGATATGAAATTTTTGAACAACAGCTATCAATAATTCTTATTGGTAAATTATCTACAAACATAAGTTTTACCGATTGGCTAGATATTATAAAGTAAAAGGTCTAATAATTGGCTAGTCGAAGACAGAATTATGAATACTAATAACATTTGTTCAAAACTAAGCCTATAGTAAAAATAACATACACGGTCGCAGAAATTTAATTATCATAACTTTCTTGCACTACCAATTTGTCTAACAATTTTTAATTCTTTTTTTTAGGTTGTTTTTACCAGTTAAATATTTTATAATCCTCTATATCATAATCTTAGACTTTTCCAGTTTATCTTACAGATGTAGTATAGTTTATCTCTTTAGAAGATTAAGTACTTACGTACTGAAATCAAAACTAGCTTAGGTATATTTATGTCTAGATGTTATAGGTTAGGTTAGGTTATTTTCCATTACTCCTGTTCAAAACTATGCCTATATTATTAATTGACTTAACGGTCGCTGGAAATTTGTTTCTTGTATTTTTCATGCATTACCAATTTGTCTTACAGGAAGTCAATCTAACAAAAATGTAGTATTGATGTAGTCTTTCATTTAGAAGATTATGTAGTTAGGTACTTAACTAAAATTAGTTTATATTTATTTATTGATTTTATAGTAAACTTGGCAAGTCGAAGACAGAGAATTGATAATTTTTCATTACTCCTGTTCAAAACTATGCCTATATTAATAATTGACTTAACGGTCGCTGGAAATTTGTTTCTTGTATTTTTCATGCATTACCAATTTGTCTTACAGGAAGTCAATCTAACAAAAATGTAGTATTGATGTAGTTTTTCTTATTTCAAAGATTAAGTAGTTAGGTACTTAACTAAAACTATTTAATATTTATGTATTGATGTTTTAATGAACTTGGCAAGTCGAAGACAGAGAATTGATAATTTTTCATTACTCCTGTTCAAAACTATGCCTATATTAATAATTGACTTAACGGTCGCTGGAAATTTGTTTATTATATTTTTCATGCATTACCAATTTGTCTTACAGGAACTCAATATAACAAATTTAGTTTTTGTTATTTCGAAGGTTAGGTATCTAGATTCTTTAGTCTTAACTAAAACTATACTCTGTTCAAATTAAGACAATGACCTGGCCGCGACCAGTTTTTGTTCCGCGATTGACAGATGCCGTCCCTGCTATAGACGCGTCGGGCGCTGCTTCGGAACAAAGCAACGCCCATAAGTACAACTCTGCCGCCGAGTAACTGTCTTGTTTTGAACAGAGTATAGTTAATATTTATGTATTGATGTTTTAATGAACTCGGCAAGTCGAAGACAGAGAATTGATAATTTTTCATTATTCCTGTTCAAAACTATTCCTATATTAATAATTAACTTAACGGTCGCTGGAAATTTGTTTCTTATATTTTTCACGCATTACCAATTTGTCTTACAGGAAGTCAATCTAACAAAAATGTAGTATTGATGTAGTTTTTCTTATTTCAAAGATTAGGTAGTTAGGTACTTAACTAAAACTATTTAATATTTATGTATTGATGTTTTAATGAACTTGGCAAGTCGAAGACAGAGAATTGATAATTTTTCATTACTCCTGTTCAAAACTATGCCTATATTAATAATTGACTTAACGGTCGCTGGAAATTTGTTTATTATATTTTTCATGTATTACCAATTTGTCTTACAGGAACTCAATATAACAAATGTAGTTTTTCTTATTTCGAAGGTTAGGTAGTTAGGTACTTAACTAAAACTATTTAATATTTATGTATTGATGTTTTAATGAACTTGGCAAGTCGAAGACAGAGAATTGATAATTTTACATTACTCCTGTTCAAAACTATGCCTATATTAATAATTGACTTAACGGTCGCTGGAAATTTGTTTATTATATTTTTCATGCATTACCAATTTGTCTTACAGGAACTCAATATAACAAATTTAGTTTTTGTTATTTCGAAGGTTAGGTATCTAGATTCTTTAGTCTTAACTAAAACTATACTCTGTTCAAATTAAGACAATGACCTGGCCGCGACCAGTTTTTGTTCCGCGATTGACAGATGCCGTCCCTGCTATAGACGCGTCGGGCGCTGCTTCGGAACAAAGCAACGCCCATAAGTACAACTCTGCCGCCGAGTAACTGTCTTGTTTTGAACAGAGTATAGTTAATATTTATGTATTGATGTTTTAATGAACTCGGCAAGTCGAAGACAGAGAATTGATAATTTTTCATTACTCCTGTTCAAAACTATTCCTATATTAATAATTAACTTAACGGTCGCTGGAAATTTGTTTCTTATATTTTTCACGCATTACCAATTTGTCTTACAGGAACTCAATATAACAAATGTAGTATTGATGTAGTTTTTTTATTTCAAAGATTAGGTAGTTAGGTACTTAACTAAAACTATTTAATATTTATGTATTGATATTTTAATGAACTTGGCAAGTCGAAGACAGAGAACTGATAATTTTACATTACTCCTGTTCAAAACTATGCCTATATTAATAATTGACTTAACGGTCGCTGGAAATTTGTTTCTCATATTTTTCATGCATTACCAATTTGTCTTTCAGTACCTAACTTAACATAAAATGAATACTAAACAAATTAATTTTTGTTTTTTGTAATTGCTTGGACATTGTACTAATGTACTGTAATATTTTTTAAATTGTATTAGTTTGATTTACCTTATGGTTATTTGAAAATCAGACTATTTAATCATTTAGCTTTGGTTCAATTCTATGCCTAAATAAATACAACATACACAGTCGCATAAAAGGTTTTACACTATTTATTGCAATACCTATATGTTTTATAATTTTCTGGAAACTATTCATTTTTATGGAATTTTCTTGTAGGTACCTATATAATAAATAAAAAATATTTGAACATGGATGTTTGCTAAAAATATTATACTCTTTAATTTTTGTAATAGGTGATTTTATTCTAAGATACTCAAAAACTATAATAAAAAAAAAAACTATTATAGGTGAAAGCGTTTTATTTATGTTGCACATGGGTCTGAGAGAGAAAACAAATATTGCGCTGACATCCTCTTAAATAATTTACCCAAATAGTTTTCTTGTGTTTCTTCTGTTCCTTCTTTATAAATATTATTATCTTGTTTAAAACAGAATGGTATGATTCAACTTGTAGAAAAATATTTCTATTTGGGTATTTAATAATAAAATATTTTGCTTGGTGCATGAAATAATTCCTAAATAAATTAAAAGTTATATAACTTTTATATTATGCACAAGGTCTGTTTACCCTTATTCCAACTATAGTAAGAAATTGGCAACCACGGCACTTTATAAGAGGCAAAATCATTAAACTAATCACCTCTATTTACTACAGCATTGTTTATATTTTAATGATATTGATATTGTCAAACTAATTATTTATGCTACACGCCATAGTTCCTTAATGGTATATATTTGTATTTATTACAACTAAAAAACTATTTACAATGATCTTTTTTAATGTTTTAGGTTCTGGTCCCTGCCCTAAATGTCTCATTCCTCTACGACGCAATGGTTTTAAACTTCAGCAGTTTGAAGACGCTTCAGTTGACGTGGAAGTGGAAACACGAAAAAAAATATTGCAAGATTTCAACAAAACTGAAGAAGATTTTGAATCTTTAGATGATTATAATGATTATTTAATAGAAATTGAAGATATTATTTACAATCTAGTTAGAAATATTAATGTAGTTGAAACAAAAGAACGTATTGATCAATATAAAAGAGAAAATAAAGAAATAATTATGAGGAACAGAATGAAGTCAAAACGTGAAGAACAAGCCTTAGATGATTTAATTGAAGAAGAAAAGATGCATTCTCAGTATAAAAGAGATGAAGTTTTAAGAGATGAAGCTGAACAAAGAACTAAAAAACTTCGAGTAGATTCTGAATTAATTGATAGTTTAGCACGTTCTAATTCTGATGCTAGAGACATTGTTAACACATATACACATAAAAAAGAAGAAATTCCTGTCCCGAAACCAAAACCTATTTCTAAACCTATAAACTTCACAAAGTTTTCAACTGGTGTCAAATTCAATCAGTCTTCTATATCAATCTCAATAAAAGAAGGTCCATTATTCAAATATGAGCCAGTTTCTCATCAACTTAATGGTCCTTCCTGTCCAGATATTACACAATTGGATTCATTAGGATATATGAAATATATCAGAAGAGAAAGTTCTCAAGAACTTGCTGGTGGATTTTTAATAAAAACATCCTGCTTGCATTATGTACAAGAGTGTGTTTCAGCATTGTATGAAAGAAAGACTGGTAAAGTATAATAAATTAGTTTAAATTCCAATAATGTGTTCATTACCAAAGCTATACAATTGTATTAATTAATTTATATGTTAAGTTACTTAGTATTTTAAGACCTTATTTATATGTATATATTTTATTCTTAATGTCAATGTACCTTTATACAAATTACAAATATATATTTTTTATGTGTAAATTTGTCTGAGTTAACATTTATAATTATTTTTTTAGTACCTACTTATTTAAGAGGACGTGATACCCGCATGTGTTGTCTCCGTCTTATAATTGCATAACATAGAAAATTCTACGCAAAGCAGAAAACGTGTAGCTCCGTTAGTTTAAAAATTAGAGTGAATTGACCTCTTATAAAATCTAAAGGTAAGATTATTATCTAGACAACCTCATTTGCTTTTTATTATATTTTAATTTTTAAGTGAGCTATGAGTATTTTAAAATTGTAAATTGTTTATAGATCTTAAAGTACTCATAACTAGCTTAAAAATTAAAATATTATAAAAAGCCCATGAGGTTGTCTAGATATTAATCTTACCTTTTTATATTTTATAAGAGGTTAATTTACTCTAATATTAATTACACGTAATTAATTAATATAATTTACACGTATTTTGCCGAGCAGAAAATTTGCTATGTTAAGCACTTGTAAGACAGAGACAACACATACGGGTATCACGTCCTCTTAATATGTTACCTACAACTGTATATTTTGATTCATCTTAATTTATCTTTATATTAATTATAAAATATGGGGTGATTTGAATAAAATTTAATTTAATTTTTATCTATTCAAGATGTAGCGTAATATCAACTATTTATAACAGGCAAGGGTAATCAACTTTAAATTTTAATTGTTAGAAATCTGAATGTAATACCATTGATTATAAATATTAGTAAACTAGTATTTATATAATCAATTGTAATACTCATGTTATACATTGTGTAGCAGTAGTTTATTATTTATACATAGTAGGTATTATACTGGTATGATTACAAATTAGTGCAGGGGCGTGCTCAGCTTTTTCCAATGGGGGGGGTGAACCGTATTTTGTTTTGTTGATTATCATAGACACAAAATGTTCTTATAGGTATATACGTTGATATTTTAGAAGTAGGTTGATATATATTATATTATATACATACCTACCTACTTGTTATTCTAAAATTATCACTGAAAACATTAAAACTATATTCTATATAGCTAAACATAAAATTTAAAATGTATTAATGTTTTATATATTCGGACATGTTAAAATTATGGGTCTAAAGACCTAAAATACAAATTCAAGTTTTCTTGGTTTCTTAGCCATTTCATCTAAGACTTCATCTGGAGTAACGCTTATATCTTTACGAACTGCCAATAGCGTTAATCCATTCAAACGGTCCTAAAATGGTTATTCGCCATTCGGTTGATTAGGAAACGTGTTTTATATCATCCAAAAAATAACAATAGATTGTGACGGGCAATTAAATTTGAATTCAACGATATAATATCATTGTATAAGAAAAACGATTCTGAGCGGAGACGGTATGTCGGTCTATGTATAAGACATGGTATATAACAAAAAATTGACCTTTAATAGGTACCTATAATAAATTCCAAATTAATCATATCACAATATCCATTAGGTACTTATAACGCGTTATACATAAAAAAAAACCGTGATACAAGTAGAAGTTTCAAGTACCCACAAATAATATTATTCAATCACAACAAAATAAATAAAATAGTTATTCTAGGTTTTTAATATGTGATTTCGTCCAAATTTGAATTTATAATGTCTGTAAAAAATAACTGTGTTCATATATTTTTTAGATTTTTTGGTTACAGTATGAACTATTTATGAGAACCATTGTTTTGAATTTGCAATCCTTAGCTATAAAAACTGAACATTTTATAATTTATTAATTACAATGATTGATAATTTTCGAGATTTTGATAAATTTTGTCAAAATTCGATCTTTAAATGCTTATAAAAAAAAACTGTGCCTATGTATTTTTAATATTTTTCAACTAAAATTGTAACAATATATCAGGAGCCTTGAATTAAATTTTTACACTATTTGGCCCAACAGATAAAACTTTATTGATATTTATAGAAAAAAAAACTAAAAAAAATTGAAAGCTGTAAATAAAGCCCAAAAAGATTCAAAATATTTTCAAAATTGTATGGTGTATAGGAAATGCTAATTTAAACATTCAGTTAAATTTCCATGTATCTACAGTTATTCGTTTTTGAATTACAACAAAATAAGGAAATCGCTACATGAGAAATCAAGTGAATATCCAATGTTGTAAAAATTTGAATTTCAAACGCTCAAATAAATTTAATTTGACTTTCTTATAGACATTTTTTTTTTTTGATAAAGGTAGATAATCTTATAAGGAATCTTGTATTACATTTTAAAATCTTAGATTTAAAAAGAAAAATTTTTACGAATTCTTAACTCAAAATAATTTGCTAATTTTCGTGATTTTTCTATATTTTGTCAATTTTTGAACTTTAAATGCTTATAAAAAAAAACTGTGACTAACGATTTTTAATATTTTTCATCTGCCTTTGAAACAATATACTAGAAGCCTTTTATTAAATTTTCAAGTTTTTTTAACCAACAAATAAAATTTTATTGATATTTCTAGAAAAAAATCTAAAAAAAAAATGAAAAATGAAAATGTCCCTTAACAGTTCAAAATAAATCAAAATATTTTAAAAATGTTATCGTGTATAGAAAATGCAAATATAAACAACCAGTGAAAATTTCATGTATCTACGGTCATTTGTTTTAAAGTTACACCAAAAACCAAATTCAATTTTCTGAAAAATCGATTTTGCGTAAAAATTCCCGTTTTTCCTTAATTTTTATTTTATTTTTCTTGGCGCTTTTGAAAATTACTGGGCATTGACCTCCCCAATGCACCAACGATATTCACTTTCCAATCGAACAAGATAGGTACTGAAGTCGAAAATCGAAGCATTATTTCGACTACTTATCGTGTACACAGACACAAAAATAAAAAAAAATAAAAAAAAATAAAAAAATATAAAAACACACATCATTGTAAAATCAATACATTCATCGTTCCACTCAGAATCTAAAATAAAAATCTCAAATAATAAAATTAAAAAATTAAATCAATAGGTAAACATTACAATACTACATAATACGAGTATACGTGTCACTATTATTATATTAAAACGGAAAACATAGGTACCTACAATTATTGTTTTTATAGCAAACGTCGAATATAAAATATATGTAGGGGGAGGGTCGCTAAAAAATTGAAATTCAAAAAGGGGTCGCCATAGTAAAAAGGTTGAGAAACACGCACTGGGCTAAAATCACCTAAAAAAAATTCGATGATTCAAGAAAAAAAGCTTGTAAATTATAATTTATAAATAAAGTGATACATATTTATTGCTATGTACCAGGTACCTAATACCTATATATATTTATTATAACAGTTACCTAATGGCTAATATTAAATAATATATACTGTATGAGAAGATGGAGGGTGTTCGGTGAAGGACCAGTCGACCTCAGTCGACGATGAGACTTTTTTTTAAGTGAAAAATGCCCCTAGATGTATGGTGTATAGGCAACTTAATGTGCCCCTGGCTTCAGTGCATAGACAACCTAAGATGCCAGTGACGAAACCTCGCGGCGGCAGACAATACGAGGAACGAATGGAAGGAAGTGGTACAACGGAATTAAGGATGGTACAGTTTAAGTATGGGGCCGGGGTCCCTGTGGTCTGATCGGTCTGGTGCAATGACCACAGGGCGCAATTACAATTTAGGCTGAACTTAAAACTACTTAAGAACTACGGCAGCTGAAGGTCCGGTCCGGTGAGCACTGCAATCCGACGACCTGGAGCGGCCACTCACACAACGCACTGGGTTGCTGGCGGACTTACGCGCTTGACTCTGGCACCAGTCCCGAACTCGGGCAAGAGATTGGATTCCCCACGAAGACTGGCAGGAACGACGTAATTGTTGGGTAAATTACTTTTAAAAAGTAATAAAGTTACTTTACTCGTTACTTAGAGAGAAATGTAATAAAGTTACTTTACTCGTTACTCAAATAAAATTGTAATGAAATTACTTTACTTTTCAAATAGAAAAGTAACTACGTTACTTTCTCGTTACATTTTTTTTTTTTTTATAATTTTTTTTTTAATTGCTTAGCTATTATCATTTAAAAAGCAAAGGAACTAGAAATACACTTCTTACAGAAGATATGGTATAATTTGAAAAAGATGTACCTACCTACAGTTAATAACATAAATACATACCTAACAATATTAATTACTTATAACTTTTAAGTTATAACTATTAAAAATAGTAGTAATAAATTGTACATATGAATATTCGGTCATTACTCATTAGTCATTACTAATAAAGATATTAGATAAGTTTATTATTTTCACCGTTTCTTGTAAAATGCTAACAGCAATAATAATTATTTATAACACTGCAATGTAAATAATTCGATTTATCATTGGTTATCCATCAATATTTATTTTTAGTGCATGTACAGACGTATAGTTTATGCTTAATAATAGACAATAGTTAATAAGAACATTAGGAACGTATAATAATTAACCACTTGTATAATAAATAATACCCGCATTAGACATTATATTTTTAAGTTTTTTTTTTTTGAAATTCGCAATAGGTACTAAATAATTTAAAACTGTAACGCGTTATACTATGTAAATTACTCATCAAAAGTAATTTTCATTACATTTTCGTTATTTGAAAATAATTGTAATTAAATTACGTAAAGCGTTACAAACAAAGTAACGGCGTTACAGTAACGCGTTACTTTCGTTACGTTACTACCCAACACTGAGTCTAATAATATGTGTGATGTACCTACTTACTCGATCGACTGCGTTTGCCAATGACCAGCACGAAGTGTGCCGATATGTTGTCGTTTGACGTTGACGCAATGTCAACGACGGGCGATGATTTAATAACAAAAAAAGGTAGATGATTTGAAGTTG